TACCAAAGTAACTCCCTTGGAGATCTTGGCCTGCTCCATCATGTCTGTCTGCTTGGTTTTTAACAACTTTGCCTGATAAAGAAGCCAGTGAGCTTCAAAAGCATATCTAATGTGTTTTGCGCTATATGTTTGGTCAAATAAAGGTATTATCATAAAGTGTATTTTGGATTTGAATTAGGGATACTTACCCAAATATGATTGTGATGTGATCGTGGGATCCCTCTAGCCTCTCACCCACTTCTGCTATGAACACTTTCCCTTATTCCTTCCAGGATACATTCTACTTGGGCTGGGGAAGTGGCACTGGTGGCAGATGCATAGAGTGTCTGTTCCATGAATGAAACACACATTCGCATGCATTTGTTGCTTCCATACTTGGAACCAGGTCAGACGGCTAAGGGGTGAAGCAAGCAGGTAGTAAAAAGTGGGTCAAAACCTTACTGACCACACCGGCAGCTCCTAAGATAGCCTTAACGCACATGGCCTGACTTCATGGTGTGGTGTCAAGCCATGTCGCTGGGTAATTAACCCTCCCCATCATCCATGCACACCATCACACAAACATACCACCAATTACTGCCTGCTGCCTAGATGCCATCCCATTGGATGGTCACCCCTTTGATTGTCCACACAGTCTCACCTGCGATCCTCCACAGGGCAAGGGCATCAGAGCAGAGGTGTGCCCAGTAAAACACTGGCAATGAACAAGCATGCCCCCCACATGCCCCCTTCACCCCATGCCCCCTCTTGGACTGTCTGGATTATGTATGTTGTAATTACATCCATTGGAGGTGTCACACTTGCACTTTTTTGCATTGCTGCCCCAACCACTTGGGTATGGCAGCTCCATTTTCTTAAATGTGTACCTGCATTAGGACATTTATTTGCAGCTTTAGGGTTAGGGTTAGGATAGATCACTCCTTTAGAATTGCTCTGGCATTGGCACATTTATATGCAAGGTTGAAAGTGTGTACTTTTAGGGCTAGGTCGGATTATTCTGGGTTTCTTTTAGTCTGGCTTTTCTGTGCTTAGCACGGCTGCAGTGCAATTTCTGGCCACTTTGGGAGTGTGTGTCATGTAAATGCCACACCAAAAGTGGCTGGAAACCACTTTATTTGGCCCATCTGTTTCAGGCCATTGTTATACCAAGCAGATATTCATACTCATTATTCTATTCTTCCTGTATGTAAATTGCAACAGTTACTACTAACATAGATTTGATTTCCTGCCTTTTTGCCTTGCAGTTGACTAGGTTGCCAGCTGCAGAATTCAGAGACATAGCTGTGTTAGTCTGGAGTATCAGTATGTAAAGGGGTCTTGTAGCACCTTTGGGAATAACTGTGTGAAAGTAGTTGTAGCATAAGTTTTCTTAGACTTGGTTCACTCCATGCATTTGAGAAAGTAGACTAAGGGGGGAAGCAGACAGCTCAAAGGGCCGTTTTGGGGGCAAGCAAGGGCAGGGGCAGTCACACGGTGGGCGCCCCAACCCCTTCCCAAAGGCATCATCAGAACGCTGGCCCCTCCGCACGGCCAGCGCTCCAATGATGCCTTCCTGCTGCAGCGTCTGCAAATGCTGTGACAGAAGAGTCGCTGAAGGTGCACCACCAGCCTTTTGTGGTGCACCTTCGGTGACTTGTGGAAGGAACGCTATTTTAGTGCTCCTTCCAGGGGCGGCGCAGCTTCCTGGGGCAGCCCAGGGCCTCCCATCTACTTTGAGCCTTAATCTATGAACATTTATGCTACAACTTTTTCACTCAGTCTCAAATGTGCTACAAGATCCTCTGCATACATTGGTTTAGTTTGTCAGAGCTCTTCTTCCTGGAAGCAGCAATTGTTTGGCCAAATTATGACAGATTATTTAGTTAAATTCATCATTAGAAAGCATAGCTAGATGGACTCCCAACCATCAAAAACCAAGGAATAGCATCACTGGTGTAAAATTCACCCTTAGAAAAACTGCTTTGCTGTTTCAAAGAGTGCCAGAGGATTTTGTTGTTGTAGTTAAAGTGGGAGAATCGTTATTCAAAGTAGTACATTATGTTCTCATCAGCTGTCAGCATTCAACAATTATTTTGACAATGGCTGTTTTTGACTGAATTTGTAAGATGCTTTCCTTAAACCCTGGGCCTGAGATATGATAAATGGGCCATATAGATGACCTTTACCCATGGTCGCATGTCAATATTCAGAATGGTTCCTTTGTTAATTTCAACAATGCTTGTCATTTTTTTTAAAAAAGGGATTGGTTTGCCAATATGACCCTCTGTTAGAATGCTGGACCATTCCAGATTGGTCACCAGGAAGCACCAAGTGCCTTTGACTGAAATGACATGGAAGATGTATGGTCGAAGTGCTGTACTCAGCACCACTGCTGTGAAATGAAGAAAACTACTTTGACCCAAATAGAAGTGTATTCAAACAATGTCGCACCAACCAAAGACAACATATTGGGAAGAAAAATGCTTCTGAACAGTTTGCACTCGAAGATGTATTGGCTGGATGGCCATAGGGCAATCTTTGAACTATTGAAATCTTTTGAAATATTGTTTAGTACTAGAACAATACTTACAAACATAATTAATCAAGCATAGATGCTCTTTACACAGTGTATTATCTGACCTCAAGGATTGTGCACTCAGATTTACTTCTGAAAGGATTTACATGGTAGGAAATCTTCTGCCAAACCACCCTTCTGAAAACCAGTTAGGGCTATAATTGCATCCACCATACAATAATCAAACAAGGGACATGATTATTAACAAGAGTTTTAGTTCAGCTTCCACTTTGGCATTAACAATCAATGATACTGTTTTCAAATCCTCTTGTGTTCTGTGTATTCTGATTTGTGGCTGCTTATTACCACATATGTGTGTATAATGTTGGAGTGAGTGTGATTTGGCTTTATAGAAAAAGTTTCCACATTCTTTCTAGGATGATGATAATGATGGTGAGGATCCTACCTTTTCCTAAGTTTGGGAGTCAAGGTGATTTACAACAGTTAAACAAACTTAGCTAAAAAATAACAGCATGGAAAAGTTGAAAAGCAAATAAACCATCATTAAATTGAAAGCATTTAAAACATATTAAAACAACAACAACAAGTAAAAGTCCAGCACAGTATACAAGGCCTGTTTCCCATGGAAAATCAATTCTCAAATGCCTGATGGAATAAACAAGGTTTTTATCTGCTTGTGGAAAGATAGGATTGAGTGTAATTGTTCAATTAAAAATATTAAATTAGTATTGGACATTTTCTAGATATATTCACAATAGTGAACAATATATTGTTTCTCGTTTTTAAAAGGCCTTTAGAAAAAGTATGCATGTTTTATTTTCTCCTAGAAAATTTAAAATTAGAGGTGGATTGCAGGAAAGAACAAGCAATGAAGGGATTAATAAATTGAGACAGTTTTTAATCTATATCTATATCTATATAGATCTTTGTAATTTCATAATGAAGTGTACAATTGGATTTCCACTTTGCATTCTTTGCCTATTTTATCCAACATGTGCATTCTTCTTTATTGGTTGTTACAAACTCTGAAAATTTCATGATGATTTCCATTTAATTTTTTTTTTGCTTCCAGCTTTTGCTTCAATTGTTGGAGCAATTCTTGTTTCTTTTCGTATTATTTTGTATTCACATTCAGGTTCAGAACTACATATTTTATAGACTGCTTTTAAGAACCCAGTTACAGTTCAAAGTCTTAAAATGTAGTTAGCTGCCTTGATGGTTTCAGTTTCTTCCAAGTAACTCTTCCATTTGTAATTTGATGAGGCATTAGAGCTCTCTGGTTGTAAATGCTAAACTTGTTTTGTGTCTTCAAGTTAATTCCAATTTATGACAACCTTAAGATGAGAAAACAGGGTTTCCTTGGAAATATTTGTTCATAGGGGGGTTGTCTTTGCCTTCTCCTGATGCTGAGAGAATGTGACTTGTCCAAGACCAGCCAATGGGTTCCTATGGCTGAGTGGGGATTCAGATCCTAGTCTTCTAGTGTCCTAGTCCATCACTCTCACCATGCTGGTGACAAAAACTCTCAAACCACTACTCATCACTGGCTAAACTGCAGATCCCAGGATCCCCTAGGATGGAACCATGGTAGTTAAAGTGGAATCCTAGTGCTATAATTGTGTTACATGAAAAACCCCAGCTCCCAGAGGCCCCAGGCTAGTTGGCCAATAGTCAGGGATTCAAGGACCTGAAGCCCCCAAACCTGGAGGACCAAAGTTTGAGAGCCCCTGCTCCAAACAAAATCAGAAAAGGTTCAAGACAAGACTATGCCATTATTTTCAGAAACTGAAATTGTCCAGGTCACATTTCAATAGGACTCCCTCAAGAATCATAAGCCATCAGACCTCAATCAGCTTCGAGAGGGAAGCATATTGGTCATGTCTGTTTATGGTAGATTATTTTGTCTTATAATGTTGCCTTCTGCTTTTTAAAATTTTATGAACACATAATTATATAACAAAGCAAATACCAAATGTAATCAGTTGATAACAACATTCATAACCACAGTGTAGATTTGCTCTATTGATCCCTCCACTCTCCAATGAAACAGAAACAGCCATTTTGTGGGGCTGGATCATTTAAAAGGTGGGTTTTGATTGCATAGTTAATAAAAAATCCCAATCTCTGCAGTGCCCAAAAAGTTGTAAGAGCATGAGTTATTTATTTCAATGCCTTTATTTCAATGTGGTAATAAGCCTTTATTTCAATGTGGTAATAAGAAACAGTTTCAAATAAAGGGATGGATTAGAATGCAGTTGGGTGGGTTCGGGAATTGGATTTGGTTGATTGTTCTAACTTTGTATTTTTTTATCTTGTTGTACGCTGCCCCGGTTGCTCTGCAGAGGGGCGGGTTATAAATAAAACCTATTATTATTACGGTATTATTATTAGAAATGCAAGGAAGTCAAGACAAAGACTTTTTAATATTTTTATTTTCTCTCTTTCTATACCTATTTACTTTTTTGATCTTTCTAGAAGCTTATCTGCCAGTGTGGTGTAGTGGTTTGAGTGTTGGACTATGATTCTGGAGACCAAGGTTCAATTCCCAGCGTGGTCATGAAAACCACTGGGTGAGCTTAGCCAAGCCACATACAGTGGTACCTCTACTTACGAAATTAATTCGTTCCAGCAGC